TTACAATGTAACTTATCAGTGCTGTTCAGAGAAATATGAGGTATGATCAAAAAATTCAATTATTTAACTTTCATAGTCATCACCTTCAAAATTGTCCCCTTCTGCCTCAATGCACCATTTCCAGCATTTCTGCAAGCTTAGAATGCTCCCTGGAAGTCCCATTCCTGGGTATCAAGTGCAAATTGCAGATAGGTCTTGACATTCAAGAATGGGATCCTCTGCCATGTCAAAACAATGACCCTTCACCTTGAATTCTGTGTTTTGGAATAAGAAGTCACAAGTCCAGATCCCAATCAGATTCAGATGTTGGGGAACAACAGTTATGCACAAAAAATGTGTGGTTTATTGAGGACATGTTGCAGTTTGGTAGCTTTGAAAGACAGTATATTGTACACTGTTACACTGTATGTGATAAGCATCACAGATCAGTTATGATCAGCCATTGAACAATATTTATCACTTCCAGGTTTTACATCTTTAAACTGAGACCACATTGAATATGTATCTCCTGCATCTTTGTATAAGATGAGTGCATATAAACATTTTAATAATCTAACGTTTTCGGCCGTCTTTTAGAGGCCTCTTCAGGATGAAACATTAAAAAAAAAAAAAAAAAAATCTATGCGAACTCGTCGTACGAAAATTAGAAGAAAAGGTCTTACTAAGCTTTCAATCCAATATCCTTAGCTACATGCGGTACGTGGATGATATTTTGATTATTTGGAAAACCAAACCTGAGTTAGATTATTAAAATCTTTTGACTGCTGGAAGTAGTATTGAGGTGTTAATTGTTGTTTGTAGTATATCGTTCCAGTTTACGTGTGTTAATTTTTTTGTCTGGCATATAAACATCCCAAAGCTCAATATTTTATAATGGAACCAAACAATTACTTAGTATTTAATTATTAATAGTAGTGGTAAAGTAGATAGATCTAGAATAGTACTAATAGCACCAATCTAGAATAGTACTAATAGCTTATATGGAGGCCCATCTTGCTTATAACTTGTTTGACTGATAAATGAATTGCTCTATTGCCTCTATTGCTGTTTATTTAGAAAAATTTTGTTACAATAGAAAGTACTATATAAGAAGTTGACAATTGTCCAATCTAACTTGTTTATACTTAATTTATAGTGAAGACAGTGCACATGTTTTTTCATGTTAAGAGAATTTGTATCAATAAAACTCATATAACCCGACATTAAAAAAAGAAGGTAGAAATTATTGAATATCACTAACAAATGCAGAGTGAGAAAATTAGCAGAAGTATTCAAGATTGGAAAAATGCAAGTTGCAAAAAATCATCAAGAAACAGGAAGAGCTACTCAGCCATTGGCATCATAATGATACAAGTTTCGAGATGAGAATAGCACTTTTATTTGCAAAGCAGTCATAGAATTATTCTGCAGAGTCAAAAGTCAGAATGTTCCTATATTATGATCAATCATACAAGTCAAAGCTTTACAATTTTCATCTGAATTAGATGCCATGGATTTCAAAACCTCATATTGATGTCTTTAAAAATTTTGAAAGCAACATATCAAATTCAAAACTATTTGTGAGAAATTCTCTCAAGTTGATCATAATTTAGGAGTACAATGGGAGGCTAAGCTTCTTTCCATTATTACTGGTTATTTTTCTGAGAATATTTTGAATGCAGATAAAACTGAACTATTCTTTTGCACTTTCCACGATAAAACTTCATGCTTCAAGGATGAATCATATTCCAGTAGCAAAATAGCAAAGGAATGACTAACAGTTCTGTATGAGTGAAGAACAAGAGAAATCTCTAGTAATTGGAAAGGCCATCAAACCAAAAGGTTTCAAGAATACAGACATTACATTGAAGACAAGAGAATAGATATAGAAATTTAATGAAAATGAAACAAAAAGGTCTGGTTGATGATAGACATTATGATAGAGCAGCTGGAACAACAGAACATGAAAATATTACATCAAAACAAGAAAATGCTTTTTCTCTTGATAGTGTTGCATAATATCCCGAAATTTAGCTTGAAAATATTGAGATTATGTTTCTTAAATGTCATTTTATTCTCCCAATCTTTTGGATCAAGGTGCAATTCAAAATTTCAAAGTCAAGTACAGACAAATGGTTTTGAAGTACACAATTGCAAATATAGATCATGGAACTTCATTCAAAAAGCTGACAAAGAAATGCACTATCTTTTCAAGCCATTTCACAGACTTCATGATTGGAGACAGGTTCTGCCATCAACAGTTTAGAGTTGTTTCTTAAAAGCCAGATTTTCTTCTGGCAATGAGAATGCTTTTAATTTTGCAGAAACTTTTGCAAATGATTTGAAGACGACAAAGTCTTGTGAATGATCCTGGATTTACCATCTCTGCAAACTATTGTGTTGACATAAATCCTGATATCTCAACTGAGTGCACAAGCCAAAAATAAAAACAAGTACAAAAACAATCCTTCAGTCACTTTCTGATATTCAAGAAAGGGAGAATAAAGATGATGATGGCTTGATAGCCAAAATGACACTGCTAATAGTCATACAGATAGGCCCATCAATGGACTACATGAATAATTTCAAGTAGTTGTATACCAATAGAGATGTAGACTGTATGAAGCTAGCATAAGATTAATCATGCCTAGTGAGAAGCAGATTATTATAATCAAATGTAAAAACAATCAAACATAACTGAATTTAAAAAATTAATAATACTGACTATCAGTACAGACATATATTATATTATAATTTAATATAGCTATCATATATAACATACACACCATGCAAAAACTAAGTTAGTAATTCAACACAATGACAAAAATGATAGTAGTAATGCATTACTACTATCATTTTTGCATGGTATGTATTATGTATTATATATAAAAANATTATATTAATGTTCTTTACAGAATGTTTAGAAAATATCTGTGATCAGTTTCAATACAAAGGGTATTATTATTTAAATCAGAGGAAAGTTGTTCAACAGTAAATGAGATTATTTTGTTAATTATTAGAAAAGTTTGTTTCATTTTCAGTAATGGTAGATATATATGTTATTCTGAAAAGATCAGAGAATTTTTATTTTGAAAGGTAAATAAAACATTCATAAAACTACTTTATGATGTTTGTTTTTTAATTTATTATACAACTTTGTACCAGAAATTCCATCTTGTATGTAAGATATTTTGGAATTAGGAAAGTCAAAATTTTTTAATGATTAGTACCATTTACTTTTATGAAATCATTACTGTAAATATTCTCATATCATATACCTACTCTCGCTCAGACTTCCCACGACAGTTAAGGTAGATACGATCCCACTTAAAACTAATATAATTACAATTAAACTTAAACCTAATATTATCACTACTTAAAACTAGAAGGAGAAAGGAAGGATGGAGGATGAAGAAAGTCTACTGGTAGTTTAGATCGGTGGGTCCTGATACTAAGGTAATGTTGATGATGGTTGCCTCATAGACATTGAATGTCCAATCAATCAGCATCCAAGGGAATAAAAAAAAATTTACTTATAAATATGTGCCAAGGCAGGTCCTTGGACTTCTACGGAATGGCTGGCTCACTTATTTTTAAATTATCGTTCCTATGTGGTCTATACTGATCCTCTCTCTCTCTTTCGTCCTAAGCCTTGTACCTTGTCTCCCAATCACTCTCGCCTGACCTCTCTCCTCAGTGGCGAACCCAAAATGCCTCTCTTGTGACAGGAAAGGTTTAAAAACGGAAGGAAGAATTACAGTAAAGAAGAAAGGAGTTCTTATTCTATATACAATTATACAAAAAAAAAAAAAATGGCAGACAGCCACACAGGTTACATTTAAAGATTGTAATTTTCACAAAACTTTACAAAACAATTTTTGTCCCACAAGTGTCCCTTACAGAGAAGTTCACTGTAATTGAGAGAAAAAAAAAAGATTTAAAGATGGCTAATATGTACTATAAATAAAATCATAATGAAATACAATGGCCCACCAGTGACTGTATGGATAAAGCCTTTAAACACTGGTAGTTAGTTGTGGGTTTGCACCTCACTAATGGACTGGCCACATGGAATTTTCCAGGTTTTCTTCATCTTAGTAATACCTAAATAAGGACCATTTTCCCATAAAAGATCTCCTGAGGGGCATTTTCTTTCTTGGCAGATCGCCCATGTGTCACATTTCTGTAATTGAATAAAACCAATGAACTAGAATGAAAATTTACCAGACTATGAAATATTCAAAAATTAAAATGGCATTTAAACATTTTGGGTATTAGAAAATTTTTGAAGATTCTGTAATCCTGTGTCTGCAAGGTGTATAGGAACATTACTGGTAATTCAACAATTCAAAACTAGTTTATGGATGTTTTCTATCATAATTAATTAAACTGTAGTTTTGAATTGTTGAATTACCAGTAATGTTCCTATACACCAAGCAGACACAGGATTGCAGAATTTTCTAATTGGAATATAGCAACAAGAAAGTAAATGTATTGGGTATGTTTAGTATGTTCAGATGTGAAGCTCTTGGGGACTAATGCTAACTCTCAGAATCACATCTCTGAGGTAACTGAGTTTGAATGTTCAAAAAAGTCTTAAAATTATACAACTAGTTGTGTGTTAATATTTTTGCTCTCCAAACATTGCCTGTAGAATGTGGCTGCTATCTCATCATTTTGGAATTTTTCATTTTTGGATTTTTTCAAACATTTCAAAGTCAATTACCTCAAAAATGTGATTCTGAGGGTTAGCACTGTGTGTCCCTGAGGGCTTCATATGTTCAAATATATTTGAATAATAATGTAAAATAAATCATATTTGTTATGTTATTTTGTTTTTGTAATAACGTGCATATTCTGTACGTAACTTTTATCTTAAATTCTTTATAAAACTGTATCTACACGACTTTTTTCTTTTCATGTTGTAATGTAGTTAATGTAAACATTTTTATATTTTATTAAAGATACTAATCCAAACTCTTAATGTAATTCTCTTCTTTCAGAATTTTTTCTCCGTTATTATCATTTTTAAAATATTCGAAGACGTTACGTTTCCGCTTTATCTTATGCGATAGACGTTTAATGTTTCCATTACGAAAGAAATGGACGAGAAAAATGAGAGTCGAATCTTACGTCGATATTCGTTTGTTGCTATGGCCTCAGCTGTATCAGCTGTCAGATAGAAACGCGTGCGCAAATAAGCTTTTCTTTATTTTTCTGATTTAATATTCCTTCTTATAAAACATCAAAATAAACTCGAAGCAATTAGAAGATAATTGGCAGTTTATATAAGTAAAATCCCAACCATTTTGTTAATTGGAATATTAATCCGTCGAATAAGATAACCGATTTTAAAAATTTCTCTTCAACTATTTTGATTATTTCATTTAAATTCTATTGAAGAATTTAATAGTACGTCTCGCACATTGAATGTGTTTTTCTTGATAAACGACCATGCATTTGAGAAATTTTGTTTATTGTAATTAAATTGTCTATTTCATACTGGGTAAATATAAGGAATTCATATATATATTGAATCTGCTATTTTATTTAATTTAAATAAAATGCATTACATCATGATCTTAATCCAGAATAAGTAAGTGAATTATTTGGATTTTTTATATTATGTATTTTGAGTTAAATATGAGGTGAAATTATTATTTCCACCCCCCCTTTTTTTTACATTTTGCATTAATGAATATGAATTAAAAAATAAAAGTAATTGTTTTAAACCTTTCATAAAGATTCATAAATATAGCGATGAACTTTTTAAAAATTTAAAATTCGGTAAAATTTGACAAGGAAATTGTTAAATATTCCGTATTAGAGGTGTACGTATAATCATTAATAAATAAAATTTAATTTTCTCTAGCTATTCAAAAATATTTAATATATTTGAAATATTTATGATTTTGAATATATGTTTATTGAATTTCAAATATAATTGAGATAATTGCTTTTATAAAATTTTTATTAATTTAGTACTTTTAATTAGTAATCATTTTATTTCTAAGTGTTTATAAATAATAAAGTATGTGATGTTTTGTTTACTGAAATTATAATAAATATTTATTGTCGTTGTATTTGGATATTATAAATTTAAGTAAAAAATAAATATTTTGATCAGAATTTAACTATTACATTTGTTTTATTTTTAGAATAAATGTTTTAAATGAAACTAATTATTTAATGAAAAATATTAAATCTATATATATTTTTTTAGGCTTATTATATTATAATTTATTCAAAATATATGGTTGCAAATTAAAATATAGTATTAACTTTTTAAAGTAATTCTAAATAAATTGCATCTAAGCACGTTTATGTTTTTAGACGCTAATAAAATTTTTTACTCTGATTAAATATTCATAAACTGTGCAGGCCGTAACATCTAATGAATTTGATAAGTTCTAATTTTTGATTCCTGTTTTGTTTTTTTTGTTTTTATAAAATGTTTTATAAGGAAAACATCAGAGAGCATGTAATCTCTTTAAAATGTATAGTTGTTTAAATTAATTGATTTTAGGTTGAAAATCTTATCATTCTGTCATCAAACAATTTTTATTTGGTTGAACTTTTAGATTATGAAATTTAATTTCTTATGATGATTATAATTATAAGGTTTTTTTTTCCACTCTAAANTATTTTGAAAGGTAAATAAAACATTCATAAAACTACTTTATGATGTTTGTTTTTTAATTTATTATACAACTTTGTACCAGAAATTCCATCTTGTATGTAAGATATTTTGGAATTAGGAAAGTCAAAATTGTTTAATGATTAGTACCATTTACTTTTATGAAATCATTACTGTAAATATTCTCATATCATATACCTATATAAATATAAAGAATATATACTTTATATATTTAAAATTTATATAATTTTTTAAACTTATTTTTATAATTATCTGTAAATTAATGATTGTATATTTTCAATTATATTTTTCTATCTTTTACTTAAAATTAACAAATGCTACTTTACAACTGGTTAATATTAGACAAAAATAAACAATGCAAAACTTAACAAACCATGTCTGTGATTTGTTAGGTTTTTGCAATGTTTATTTTTACTTAAATTGCTGTCAAAATTTAAACTGCTCTTCATTTTTTAAAAATGTGATTCAATGCTAAGATTAAATTTTTACTTGTATTTCTGTAACATTTCAATAAATAATTGAAATTTTTTATTATTTTTTTAATATATTTTGTAACTTTCTATTCATGTTTGAAATTTTAAGGAATTAGATATTTTGTACAACACAAATATGATTAATGAATTTTGAAAATGCAGAAAATAACTTGTACCTTAAATAATTTATTTAAGGTATACATAAATACACACTATATTATAAATATATATGCTAAGATATATAAAATTTTCCTTTAGATATGAAATTTAAATTATTTAATATGTAATTTTTCTAAATGATTGCATGGCATATAGCTATAATCTTTTATTACTGCATGGCTTAGCATGACAGTCATTAAACCATACTATGAATTAATATTCCAAAAGTTAACAGTTTAAATTTAGGCCTATTATCCAAAGTTTCCTTTTTCATTTTCAATTATTAGTAAAAATTTTTATTGTAAATGTATTTTATTTCTTTATAGTTAAAAGCTTCTTTTTAGATTCAAAGAATATCAAATACTCAGTAAGTGAGGATTGAGGATTTAAGTAGATTTTTAAATAGAAAATAATCAGTTAAATCATTGTTAATGATTTTCTGTATGTCTTTTGATAAATGTTTCTAAATAATAGTATTAGAATTAAAAGGAAACCTAAAAGAAGTAATTATTTTTACTTTTAAAACAGAGATTAATAATGTTTGTATTTTACAAATGTCTGTTACTAATAACTGATGTATAATAGAGGAATCTCTGTTATCAATGAATAGTGAAGAAACCTTTGGTACTCAATAATTTATTACTATTATGATAAATAAAGTGACTGAATGAATTACTGAATGCTTTTCAAATGTGTTTTGATTTAAGCATAAATATTTCATTTATATGGTCCAATGACTCAGTAAACCACAATCACACTTATTAATTATAAAGGAAAGACAAGAGATATGACCATTTTGCCAATATTTATGCATTTTAATAATGCATTATTAACATTAAATTTTGTTGTTTTTTTGTCTTATACAGTATAAAATTTAATTAATTTAATTTATGTGTATTATTTGAAATTATTGTAGTTTTAATTGAATTTATTTATTTTTTATTATTTTTTAAAAGAAGAGAATTTTATTAACTTACAGAAAAAATTGAGTTTCAGGTATTTTCATTAAAAGTTAGAACATTATTATTCATTCATTTACAATGATGAACTGTAGTTAATTTGCTGAATTAATCAATGTATCTTTAACGTTGGGTGAAAAAGTATATTGATTAATAAATTATTTATTACTCTTTCTCAAATAAAATTTGTCAGTTTGTTGTTGAAAGCCATAAAGCACAACAAATATTGTAATGATGAATGTACTCTCTTTGTGAATATCAATGATTTCATAATGATTTAATTTATGTGTCTTCTTTTTTATTTGTTTGAAATAAATGAACTTTTTCATTATCATTATAATATGCCTATTTTTATCATTTTTGGAAATTTCACCAATAATTTTTAAAATAAACAACTTTTTTTTTTTGTTATTAAAACACTGGTATTTTATAGATTTTATAAAGTAGACAGCTTACTTGAATTTTGGTTTTAGTTCCAAAAAATTAAAATTTCTTTTTTTATGAATGGAAGATTTTATTTTTTTCTTTTTTAATGATGAATTGTTGTAATAAAATATAAACTGATAAAATCTCTATTGGATAATTTAATATGTGAATTAAGCAGAGAAAAATCATAAGTATATTCATTTTCTTAAATCAATAGGAATTTAGCCAATGTTTAAAAAAGCTTTATTTTGTAAAAATTATTGAATTAAAACAGAGTGGTCTAACTTATTCAGCTCATGGTTCAAATTGTATGTTTAATCTAAGTCACAGGATAGAGAAATAATTTTTTATAAATATGTGGAAAATAAGGCATTTTGATTTCTTAATTACTGTATAACTAGAAAGCATGTTATGAGAGCACTGAGGAGTATGCCTTTTATTAAAGATTCAACATCAGTTTCCATTTATGTACGGACAAGTTATAGTGTCAATATTCATAAATCTTCATATAACATATCTTTGTTTACATTTTAATAGCTAATTTTTATTTTTACAAGCATATATTCACATATGTAAAGAGTACCAAATATTAAATGTATCAAAACAAAATTTCTCAAATTTGAATATACTGCATGTAAGCTTACAGAAATGGACTATGGCAAAGCAGGTATGGAAGAATGCTAGTGAAAATGTGATTACTAAATAACAGTGACACAGAATAATCAGTGTCATCACAATGATAATTTATCAAAGGTGTCCTCAAACATGGCAAGAATGGCCTGAATGTATTTTGGCAGGTGCTGTAACCAGAGTGTTTTAAGGAATTCTTCCTCAGCTTTATTTCCAGCACTCTACTCAAACATTTGTGCAATTTACAGTCTACATTCTAATTATTGGTAAGTTGGTGCAACTTCTTCATATGAGGGATTTTGTTGTCTAACATTAACTCTGAAAATAAGAACTTCAATTTCTTTTGTTCTGACTTGGTAAAGACAGCAATATGGAATTTTAGGGTTTTATATTGGTTCTCATACAGTGTATTTAACACTGTGTCACTGACGTAATGCAGGCTCATTGATCTTTGCCCAACTTTCTTGGTTTGCTATGATGTGCTTAGCCCAATCTATTGCAAGTGAAATTAAAATTGATGCCTACCTTTAATATTCATCTTTATTTTAAGCTTTGAAACAAGGAGCATGTCAGAAGTAAATGTTTGTCATGTTCATTGAGTTTTGTCAATCACCACTGAAAGGCTATAGTGGTTGAATAGGCATTCTAATAAAAGCAATCTGTGAACATCATAAGATGGTCTCAAATCTAATAAATTGCCATCACATTTCTTATATTAGTACACTTTAATGAACATAATTAAATTGTTATTACAACAACATACAAAGCATTGTTCTAGTGAGATGCAGTATAAGTCAATCATACTCACTGATGTCATAAGGTAAAAGGTAGTAAAAGGTGCCTGTTTACTTATGATATTAAGAGTTGTGGGTTTTTTTTTCTCATTTTGCATTGATCTTTTCTTTCAGAATATTCTAAATTAATTAATTTAATTCTGATTATTTAATTTAATACAAGATAGTGAGTGATACTCTTAGTTCAAATTATTTTTTATCTATATATTTAATTAGTCAAGAATGCCCTGATGAATCCAGTATTATCATTTGATTAATTTATAATTTTGGGCTTAGTTTTTCAAATTTAAATTAAAACATTAATATACTATATATTCCAAACAGAATCTTTAATGATAATATATACTGAAGAGCCATTACATTATGACCACCTGTTTAATACCATGCAGGACCACCTTTCGCCCACAAAACTGCCAACATGCGGCGAGGCATTGACTCGTCAAGATGCTGGTACCATGCACTCATCAGCTGTTCTCCAGTCCCCAAACATCATGAGG